GGGACTGGAATAATTATGTTGACTTTTGGAAGTACTTAAGGATAAATACATGATTAGATATTTTGCACACCGTGAGGAAATATTTATTTCGAAATACAAATTCTTCCTATTGAGCCTTTTGATGGAACATTTATAGGTGACGCTATCAGCATATAGATTACAGCACCATTAAGGCTACTTAAATAAATTACCCTGCTGCATTTGCAGCACTGGAGAGATGGGAAGTCTCCAGCGAAGTGTGTTGTCTGTGCCGCCAGTTCGCCGCACGGGCATGGGGAGCTCGGCACAGCCCTGGACGAGGCCCTTCAGCCTCCGCTCCCCGTGCCCATGGCGGAGGAAGTGCCGTGGGCATCCCTGCAGAGCCGGGCTGTCTGTGGGAACAAGGTCATCCCACCCAGGGACCCTCCACACACTTCTTTACAAAAAATGAACCGAGCAACATTGCTACTAACTCGTATTTTCTCCCCAGGGGATTTGTTTTTTATGGAAATGGCTCAATTTTAGAGCTGGTTTTCTTTTTTTCTCCTACGAATCAAAAATTTAGGGAAATTTCTGCAGGAGGAGAATTTGCAGGATCCTTATCAGCAGTTCATGCTATAAAACCAGTCGTGACCACAAATTGCTCCTGCTTTTTGCTTGCAGCTCCAGCTGCTCTTAGCTGTCTAAGAGGCGAGCGAAGAATTTTCAGCAAAGCACTTTTCCAACGGGAAATCCCAGCTCACTGCTGTGCGGGTTAAGGCAGCCCCGTGTTAACATCCGAAACAGTGGCTGGGGGGGAACATAGCGGAAAAATGTCTCACCTAAGAGGCGAGCGAAGAATTTTCAGCAAAGCACTTTTCCAACGGGAAATCCCAGCTCACTGCTGTGCGGGTTAAGGCAGCCCCGTGTTAACATCCGAAACAGTGGCTGGGGGGAAACATTGAGGCAAAATGTCTCACCCTCCTCCTTCTCCAGGCTCTGGCTCCCACAGCCGCTGCTTGGCGAAGACATAAATCCCCAGCCTGGACCAGGCTGCTGCCGGCATCGCACTCTGCTCGCACGGGACATCAGGCACCACCCTGGGCTTAAAACAGAAATGATAGGATGTGAGGGCTCTTTTTTCTTTTGATAACGTCAGCAGAAGAGAGCTTTCCTTTCGCTTTTCCTGGGCGGCTCCCCATCACAGCAAGAGGGAAGCCCCATGAGCAGCCCACGTGAAACACTGGCTGGTTTGGGGTTTTCCTGGATTGCGGGATCATGCTCCGGATGGACCCGGGAGCTCTCTGTCTCCGCACACACCCACGGGGCCAAGGGCTGAGAATAACCAGGCTGTAACGTAAGTGAAACCCAGTGATATCTGCACGGGACGGACTGAGTTGTGGAGCTGAAATGTGGTACATGTTGGATGGGGGGGTTGGTGCGGCACCCTGGCTCGCCCGTCTGGACCGCTCCAGCTCCCAGTTTTGGAGGTGAGCTCTGGTGCTGCTGCTGCTGATGGGAGCACAGAAGTAAGAAACAAACCGGGGTCAAAACTTTTTACGCATGGGCCCTATGTCAGCACAAGCCAGTGTGTAGCCTGAGGAGCACCCCAGAGCCCAGCATGCAGAGGGCATCTCTGCTCGTCCCCAGGGCCACATTTTGGTGCCATCGAGACCAACCACTCATGACCAATCCAGGCTGTTGGGCTGATTTGCAAAGCAAGGATGGACAGCTGTGCCAGGGACGGGAGCATGGGGACACACTTGTCCCCATTCCAGTCCCATTGGATGAGCTTGGGAAGTGTTGATGCTCGGCAGGGTCTCTGGGGGCTGGGGATCAGAGAGAGGATGGAGATGATCTGCCCAACCTGAGCCACGGACAGCACTTGGCCTTGCAGATACATCACAGGCAATAAATGGGCCACTGTAACTAATTGAATTTGGGTTTCGCTTTAATGAATTAATCTGTCAAGGTTAATCTGGAGGGCTTTAACACACCCTTCCCCCAGTCCTGCTTTTGCCCTCACCCTTGACTCAAGACAACTTCTAAAATGCCACATAAAAAGGAACAAGCCAAAACCTGAGATGGTGAACTGCCATGAGCTGCTGAGAGGGACAGGGATGGGGAGCCCCAGGTAGGACCCCCACACCGGGAAGGGACCTACTTCACCTGAAGCACTGGAGGAGAAGAGGGAAAAGGAAGCCCTTGCTCTGCCCACAATTCCTTTGGCTACCTCGGTCATGTCCCTTGATAATGGGTGGCTCCACCCACTGAGATAGGTGGATGAGATCTGGGCACCACGTGCCTAAAAACGTGCTTGGGTTGCAGGCTCTCCAGGGGCTCTGCCTGCAGACCCGCATGAGCCAAAGACTCCTGGGTGGTATCTTAAGTTCCTTCTTCCTGCAGCCCCCACCACCGGTGGTGTCACCACCACCTTGAGCAGCCCCGAGGACAGGAGTGCTGGTGCGAGGACCAACCTCCCTGCACGCCCCGTTACTTGCTGTCCCAGAGAGGAGGAAGGAGGGGAATGTGGGTTGCTCCTGCACCAGGAAGATCAGCACCTTTCTCCATCCCACGACTTCGTCGGACATGATGCGCTCCAGCTGGGTCTTTGCACAGAAGTAGCTGCTGTGGGAAACAGGGCCATATCCAGTGATACGGCACGGGGAACACCAACGGGCATTTGTACGGGGCAGGATGGTCATGGTGGGGTTGGCGAGGACAGAGCAGAGCATCCACTGGGAACACCAACCCCTCCAGGCAGTAGGATGGGGGTCGATGGGGCAGAGGTCCCACCTGCCACCTCCGCAGCTACTGCTGGACACCAGCCGGGGGCTGGAGCCGGCCTCCCCCGGCACATCCAGTGCTGTCTGTCAGCCTGGATTAGGGAACAAGCCCATGAATGGAACAAGAATATCCAGGTCACCTCCAACAACACCATTACATCGGCTTTTGGAAATTATTACCAGCTCTACCAGGGCGTGTGTGCTGCAGATAACAGCACAAAGGAGGCATTGAGTTGGCAAATACTTGCCAAGGGCCAGAAGTTGGGCATTGGATGGCACATTTGGATTAGTTATTGAAATGCAAAGTGCTCCTTTTAAGCACCTCTAATCCATCCATGCCGGGTAGAGAGCGGCAGTGAGGCCCCGGGCGCCTGCGGCCGTGCCAAGGCACTCTTGGCTCTGCAGACCAGGGAAAGAGGCGTTTCGCTCCATCCCCGGGCTACCCCCCCAACACGTCACTCACCAGGACACGCTGATGAACCAGAGCTGGTACAGGAGGGACATCTCCATGAGACATCTCTATGGGACGGGGACCCGGACTCCTGGTCTGGACATGGCTCCTGTTGGTTCTCCTGGGCTGTCCGTGCCTCTTCGAGATGTTGCAGGGATGAAGCAAGGAAGGAAAGTGATGCCACCCACCTCCCCGAGCTTCCGAGGCCTCAGAGAGCCACCAAACCCAATCGCCACCAGCCTCGTCTCCGCAGAAACAGCTCCTTTTTTACCTTAATGGGGCATAGCGGAGAAGGGGCAATTCATCGTTCCTGGTGGGAGCAGGGCCCCAGGGAGCAGCTGCTGTTTCTCTCTTCATTACAGACCAGCCGATGGAATGATGGCTTTCAGAAAACCAGGGGGAAAGGTTTTTTCATCATTAGCGGCCGGCGACAGCGAGTGCCCAATGAGCTGTGGCTGAAATACAGCCAAAGAGGGGACCGCGGGGAGGAGAGTGACCAGGCACCGAAGAAATCCAAAGCAGCTCTGGATGGACGAGCCACCAAGCTGGTGGCCAGCCTGGCTGTGTGCCCTGGGGCTGGGCTGTTTGCTGCAGGGGAGCCGGGGAAGCCGGATGGTCGGAGCCGCACAGCAATAACCTTGCAGAAGGCTCTTTTTCCCTTATTTTTTAGAGATGCAAATTTATCAGATGCTTTCCAGTTTGGTTTGGTTTCAGGGTTGGGTTTTTTGCGCACAGTCACCACCACAGAGAGCAAGCGGGAAGGGAAAGGAATAGGCAGCAGTGGGACATTGCTGATGGCTTGAGGGGCTACAGCTTTGCTGGGAAGCTGCTCTGGTGCGGAGCCCCTCCCCAAGCAGGGACCGACGTCCCCACACAGCCCCAAACTCTCCACACCGTGGGCACTGGAGGTTGCAGGGCTGCAGGGGCCAGCCCAGCTCGTGCCCCCTGTCACCTGGGGCACTGCCACTGCTCGAGGCCACCCTGCCCTCCAGGACACCACCTCAGGCCTTGGGGACAATGAGCTCACCCCCAGGGACACCCCTGCCAAGGGCTGACCCTGCAGCCCAGAGACGACGTGCACACCCAGAGCCCTTCCCAAGTGCAGTTCTTGATTTTAATTTGCATTATCCCCCTTTTTATTATTTATTGGTAAAATGTAATTACCGCATCCTTCACAAACCTTAATTAAAGATGAAAAACGGTCCTGACAAGTCAATTAATTTTTTTTTTCCTTGGTCTCCATTAAATTAAGACTCAAGTGTTACTGGAAGTGTTTAATATCACAACAGATTAAACTGAAGGCTGCTTTGTAATAAATAAATCACTGAAGACAATGCAGGAGCTTTCTTCTCCAGAAGGCTTTTCTTGCAAGAGGGTTTCATTTTCCAGCTGGAAAATGCACTGAAAGAGTTTCTTCTTCCCCCGTAACACCTTTTCCAGCAATGGAAACCTTCCATCAGAAGTGTTGCAAGAAGTTGTGGGCATCCAGGTTGGCTGGCAGGTCTTGCCCGGTCCAAGATCTCACCGTGCTGTTAGGAGGAAGCCCACAGCAAAGCTCTGCAAGCACAAGGCAACCCGGTCTCCTCTGCACGGTGATGGGCAAACACGGCTCCTCTGTGCCACGAAGGGTTTGCAGTCCTGGAATTTAACCCTGCAAATGTGCTCCCCCAAAATACCCTTGAAAAGCAAGATACGGCCGATACGGAGGTCTTTTCTACAAGCTGCCTGGTGGGTACCTGCATCAGGGCTCCCTACATCACACAGCTCCCGGGCCAGAGCCAGCGAAAGAAATCCAGAGGCCATCACAAATTTGGAACATTTATTTATGCAACTGATTTTCTTAAAAGGAAAGAAAGCCAAAAATAATAATAATAATAATAATAATTAAAAAAACCAGTTAACAACAGCTGGATGTGCGTGGTACAATCCACATCAGATGTGTCCCTCCTTCGCCATCCCTCCCTCGGTCCCACCACACCGTCCCCCTCCATGGTGGAGCCGCCTCGTGGTAGCAGTCCCGTTGGCAACAGCTCTTGGATGCTGCCAGCTTTCAGGGTCACTTTTTCTGTATATAGACAAAATCGTTCCAATTTGGCATTTTTCTCAGGTTTTAATTTTTTCCTTTTTTTTGGTTGTTTTGTTTTTATTAAAAAGAAAAAAAAAAAGCACCACTCCAATCTGTAATACCAATAAACATTATCCATCTTAAGAACAGTATTTATATTTTTATATATATATTTCTATATATATTTCTATGTACAGGATGTCCTTGCCTCACGTCATATGAGCATCTCAGTAGGAGTTGGAGATCGGTTGGTTTTTATAGCACTGTGATTTCAAAGTCTGCCTTTCAGAAGAGATGCCCTAAAAACCCGGAGACATCCAGCAAGGAGATAGCAAAAAAAAAAAAAATCTCACTTTTAAAACATATGTACAACTCCTCCAGTCTCTGTCGTCTCATTAGGACTAAATGGGGTTTCAATTTTCCTTTTTTTTTTTTTTCTTTTTCCTTTTCTGGCAACACTTGAAGCACCGGGGGACGCTCCCTCCCTCTGGACCGGAGGGAGGATGCAGGTGGCCCAGGCTCCTGGCAGGTCTGGGGTGAAGCAGCATCGTCCCTCCAGCCCCCAGGCGCTGGGGCTGAACGGTGCCACCAACATCCCGTCCCCGGGGATTTCAGAGGTTCAGCTCAGCCATTTTCACACAAAACCAAACAATTTCTGCACCCTGGGACCTCTCTGCACCCAGCACCCAGCGCCTTCCCTGCGGCATCCCGGGACAGCGTGGACATGTCTACAGAGAGATGGGGATTGGGAAAAGGACACTAATTTATTCCAAGTCAAGGCTTGCGATGCGAGTACTGGTGTTACCAGGTACTGGTGTAACTGGACCATTTTGCAGGCTCCGGTGGGGTAAAAAGACTATTTGGTCATGAAACAGCAGGGGCACACGGCAGGGTTAGACAGCAGGGGTAGAGAGAAGGGGAATAATGTTGTATAGCCCTTGGAATAAGTTACTGTCAGGCTGTGTGAATTATTCGGCAAGCACGTGGGAACGCCAAGTGTCTGGGCAAAACCCTCCGAGGCTGCTGAAATCCTCATCACCAGCCCAGGATGTTTGCAAGGCAGCGGGTGGGACGTCCTCCAAGGTGGAGAGAGGGCCGAGATTTATCTTGTTGCTCTCCTCCACCCTCAGAAGGTGGATGGAAATATCTCCCGGGTTTGCTCATCCAGGGCGCAGCCATTTCGGCTCTGCGGCCTTCGTGCTGCCAGATCGGTCCGGCCAAACGGCGTCTTCCAAAGCTTTGAGTCGTGGCATGGATCTGAATGCAACTCCCTGGGGAGAGGGATCCCCGGCCTCCGGGCAGGCAGGGCGGGGAAGCTTCCCGTGCCCTGGGAAGACGGGGATGAAGGATGGGAGGGGATGAAGGATGGGGTTGCCCACGTGCAACCTCCAGCGTATGGAGAACAGTTTCTCATCTGTTCTGCTTCATGCCCCAAAAAAATGACTGTGAAGGGTTCTGCCTGGCCCTCAAGACAGAAGCAACTTTCCCTCAGTTCCTCGAGTCTGCGAGGCAGACCCCAGACCTGCATCCCTCTGGTTGCACCTCCTCGAGGCCATTTGCAGGGAGAGAAAACCCTGACTGCAGCTTGATTACAACCAGGCTCTCCCCCGTAAGCAGAAACCCCTGTAATTATCGCAATATCAGACAGAAAAAGTGACATCTCACACCCAACGATAGCAGGATGAAGCCAAAACGTATCAGACACCTTCAATCACCGTCCCCATACACTTGTCCCCAAGTGCCACCAGGGGCGTGGGGACCTCCCCATGCCCAGCCCCGAAGCACTACCACGGCTCAGGGCTTCAGCACAGCTCACCCCATGCCAACGCCATCACCAAAACCAACTGTCCCGCGTCGCCAACCCCAGCAAAAGCCAAGCAGCATCGATGGGCAACTGCCTGGGGGAGGCATCCAGGAGGCATATGGGATGGACCTGAATTTTGAGGATTTTGTTTCTGGGCACCAAAGGTGTCTCATGTGCAGCGATTCAGAAGGGAAGGGTTAAAAACGGACCTGTGGGCTGGTGCCTTTGGGTCAGCCCAGGAGGAATTAATTGCTACAGATGGAAAAGACGGGGCGGAGATGCAGGGGAACCATCACTTGAAAAGCTTTGCAAAGGCGCCAGGAGGGGTCCGGGTCGGTCCCTGCAGAGGGACATCGCGTGCCCAGTGCCCACCACGCCCCACCACCGTCCCACGTCCCCGCTCTGTCCAGGGCCGGATACACAAAGGGATATAACTCACAGAACTAAAAAAAAGTGAAGATCAAACTCATAGTGCGAACGGGCAGAAACTCAAGAGCTCCTCTCAGGGTCTTTGCTCCGGCTCAGAGCGTGTCCCCACCAAGGGCAAAACCTGCCGGCAGCCATCTGGGCTTCTCGGAAGAGCAGCTTCGACTCCACGCACAATCAAAAAAGCAACGTCTCTTCTCCAAATATCCATCCTTCCCTGCTGGGAAACGGCCTCGGCTCCTTCTGTCCACCTCCTCCCCTCCCCGGCCTCCTCTCCAGCTGCTTTAGAGATGCCCAGGCAGCGCCGCGGGGCCGCATCCTGCGCACACCGACCCCACCACCGTGACTCGAAGAGATGCCGGGACTGGACGAGTCGTGGCATCCGACCCGCGGCCACTCGGACGCGCTCCGGGCGGGAAGAAAGGATGGAGAGCGGAGGATGAAGATGGGGAGCGGCCGACACGTCCCCACGTCCTTTCGTTTTTCTTGATCTGATGGGTTTTGTCATCGGGTCCTTTGCTGTTTCCCCTCCTCACCTTGAGCACTAACGCAACATCCGAGTGCGAAACGCACGGTTGGCACGACCCCTGCGCAAGCCCTTGCCGCCGCTCTCCTGGCGAGGTGCTATCTGGTCTCCAGGGACTCCAGATATTCCAGTGCTATGTCGTAGCAGAAATGATACTGCTCCTGTTCGGAGAGAGAAAAGAGGGTGTTATGATCCCGAGTAAACTATTTCCCAAAGCTATCCCTTTTTAAGGCAAAATAAGTTTCAATAGCCCTAAGGAAAAGGCTGTGAGGGGCTCTGTGAGACAAACACACACGCGCGTCGCCCCTCGCTGGGGGCTGCGTCCCTCTCCCGTCCCCCGTGACAGTCCTGCTGAAGCAAGCCGGGAGCAACTCTGCTTTCGGCAAACGACACCCATTGCTGGGGAAGGGGATGAGCCGGGATGATCCCCCGGATCCAAACACACCACACGCGCCGAATTTCCTGCATTTTGGGGGCACGCGGCACCTTCGCCTCCGCCGAGGGATGGACAAGGACTGCGACATCCCCTTACCGCGAAAATATGGTTTATTCACCACACCAGGGTACAAACCAGGCAGCACCAGTGGCGGGGCTCCACCGACCAGCCTCACCCACGGAACCCCTACCACCACCGCAGTGACCGACATCTGTCAATCAGACGGTGGCAGAGCCGTGGGAATGACGGGGTCTGGGGTTCAGAGATGTACAAAATAAAACCACGGGCATGAAATCGAGGAGCGTTTTTATTTTTTAGTTCAGCGGAGGCTGCAAATGGGGAGCGTGCCCAGGCGCGTGCCACGGCCTCGCTGCATCCGTCGTCCGGAGACACCCTGTCCCGGCTGCCAGGACGTTTCTCATCACAAATTCTCCTGCTGCAGATAAAAAAAAAAATACCATTTTCCATCCCTGGCAGGGATTTGGTCTGGGTGTTTGCTTTGCGCGGGGGGCGAGACATGAAGGGAAGTCCCAGGAGCTTTCACTTCCGAAAATCCCAATTTTTCAAGGGAAACGCCAAACGAATGAGCATTTTGGTGCTCAGGTCAAAGTCTGACCCGCCTGCGACGGCCGGGCCGGAGCCAAGGGGTGCGAGTGGGAAAGCTCCTCTCCGAGCCCGTGGCAAGACGGGGCTCACTCTCCCATCCTTTCCTTTTCCTGAGACAGCTACGGACGGTGTCAGCATCTTCCCACCCTTTGCTCCCCCCCTGCTGCAGCTCCCCAGCTGCACGAAGGGAAAGCCCAGCATGGCTGGCTCCTGGTTTTATAACAAAAATACTGAAATTGGGCTTGCAAAGGCAGTATCGTCCATCCTTGTTCTCCTTTACGTGACCTGTTCTTGCGCTCTCCTGTCCTCGTACAACTCACAGCACAGAAAACTACGGGGGAGCTCGGACCTCGGAAGTGCCCATCCCCATGAGATGTTGCTCCTTCAAGCATCCAACAAGCCAAACCAGCTAGAGTGGGGAAAAAAACCCCAAATAAATCAGGTTTCTGATGCTGCTGCAAGTGCTGGGACATCGTGGGAGCATTCCAGGTGTGACAGCAGGGAGGAAAAGGGGAGAGTTCATCTCCTGAAATCCTCATCGGCAGCTTGAGCACCGGCACGAAAATCCTGTTATCCCCCGTGCGGGTGGGCGGCTGCTCGGGGACCCCAGGTGGGAGCAGGCAGCAAGGGAGAAGGGCTTCAAAGCGAGGAGGCTGTGACAGCTTAGATTAAAAGCACATAATGCTTTTTGGATTAAGAAAAGGGATTGTTTCAATTTATCATCATACAAAAATAAACCCCACAGGCAAACAGAGGGGGAAGATACACGGGCAGCGGGAAACTGCTACGCGCCGGCTGCTCTCCACTGGGCTGTGGCTCTTTATACCAGGCGAGGATCCGGCCTCCCAGTGACTCCAGTAGATTGGGATTCCCAGAATAGACGGTTCAGGTTCATTTGAGGCTGGAGGACGCCCATGTCCTGATGTGAAATGTTGCCTTTTTTTAGTACCTTTGCAATTTAGCCCAATGGGTCTGGTGGCTTCATGCTTGTCACATCATCTTTTCATTATCTGCATCCCTCCCTCCGCTCCCCGTCCCCTCCCTCACCTCCTCCTCCTCCACTTCAATTCCTAATGCAAATCACATCCCCTCCTCGAAACCATTTCATTTTGTAACTTAGGGATTTTATAATCTAAACAGGGTAAACATTTCCGGCTGACTTGCTTTTAAAACATCACTAGGCACCTGGATTCCTCCACCACGGGGACGGACACGCGCCTGCTCCATCCCCTGTCCTGTTATCGAGGGCCTGAAATAGGGCACGGGCTTTTCACCCTGACCCGCTGCCACCTCCAGCCTCCCCGTCATGAAATGTGGCTCCATCGCTGCCCCCAGCAGCTTCTCCACCAATTAACTTCACTCAAAACGCAGTTCCCTTTTATATTTCCAACAGGAATTTGTCTGACTCCACCTTAGAGCTGCTCCCGGCACCGCAAACCCTCCGAAGAACTGCAATTACATCCCGTGAATTAATGCGAACCTGCCTTATTACTCCTGGGAAGGATTTCTGACAAGCCCAACACCGACGCCAAGGACGTGTCAGCACGGCAAGATGAAGGCAAGCCCGAGGATCCTTTCAACAGCTGCCTCGCCTCCCTGTCCGCCCCAGCCCGCGGCACGGTGCCGGCACGCTCACCGAGACATGCTCTGCATGAGGATTGCCCATAATCCTAATCAGGATTTGGGATGGGAAAGGAGGTTTTCTGGGAGGTGAGCATCCCCCAGCAGCTCTCCTCCCTGCCGGAGGGACGCGTGGGGACCAGCAGCCGGGGTGGACGCCGGTGGTGTCTGGTGCTTACCAAGGTCTCTACCATATTTGGCTTGTAGTTGCGGAGGGTCTTTGCAGCATAGAAAACATCTGCCATGTTGTGACACTTGATCATCTCCAGGATCATGGTGGAGGCACAGAAGGTGCCGCTCCGGCCACCTCCGTTCCTGGTGGGAGAAACACACATGTTGGTGGTGAAAAGATGGCATTAGAGCATCTCCCTGCTCCCTCTAATTCCCCCTTTCTCTATCCATCCCAGGGGATGTCCCAGACCACGGGCTTATACCCCAGAGTCCCCCCAGACTGGGGGACCTGAACCAGACCCACGTGGTGGCAGGAGCTGTGACCCTGCCCTCTGGTCCTCACAAGAGCCACAACAGAGCATGAAAACACCTTTTTGGACCATCGGGGCTGGATCTTGGACATCTGGGCTGAGTTTCCAGCCCTGCCATGGCCCGATTCCTGGTGTGACCTTGGGGAAGCCACTGTGTCCTCCTACCACCCTCTTCCCATCTGCAGGGTGACCCTGGCTGATGACCTGTTGGGTAGTGCTGGCTGGAGGAACCATCCCACGTTTCACCCAGCGCACAGCTCACTGGGTACCTCCCCCCATCCTGGGCTGAAACCATCCCACACCACCACATCTGATCCCTGGCAGCAAAGGGGACCGGGGAAGGGAAGAGAGAACGTGATGCCAGTGTTTTATAAAGCATGTTCTCAAATTATCCTTTGGCTAATGAAAACGGACGAGGCTGTAATTAATTTTTGATTAAAGGCTCGCCTGCTGTCTCTACCAATCTGCGAACGTGCTAGGTCCCAACCGAGGAGAGCACGCACGGGTGTTTGTGTGAGCCAAACCCAGCTGGGAGGAGGGGGATGGAGAGCACGTCTACCTCGATGAGAAGCAGGCAGTGAGAGATACACAGCTCCTGCTGCATCCCTTTGGAGCCTGTTACAGGCACGGGACGTGGTGACAGGGCTGGGACCTCTGCCGAGCCCCGCTGCAAGGCAGGGGACCAGTGTGAACGGCAGGGTTGCTGCTAGCAGGTGTCACTCCCGCTGAGCATCTATCTCATGGAGGAGGTTTGACATGGTGACCACAAAGTGCCTCACCCAAAACTCATGTTGTGGGAGAGAGAGCACCATCTGGGGACAAAGTCACCCTGGTGAGGGCTTTTTAGAGGATTTCCAGGCAGAACTGTGGACACGTGAGCTGGTGGCATCTCCCCCCATGCCAGAGCCCGCTCCTCTCCAGCTGACACTCACAGGCAGTGCACCACAGTCCTGCCATCGCCGCTTTCCTTCTGCCACCTCTCCACTTGGGCCAGGAGGTGCAGGAAGGACTTCTTGGAGTCTGGGGTGTCTCGGTACGCTGACCACCGCAGGTACTGGAAATGCCGGACCATCAGGTGCCCCTCCTGCAACTACAAAAGCAAACCTCATCAGCTTGAACCCATGGGCTGCCCTCATTTGCCTCCGCTGATAGAGGAGGGCAAGAGGGGTTTGCCACGCATCAACAGTAGGAGGTCTGATAGAGGTCAAGAGGGGTTTGCCACGCATCAACAGTAGTGGAAGAGAGGAAAACCCTTTCCTGGTGCTTTAAGATGGATGGTTCAGCCCTCTCCTCCACAGCTCACACTGGTCCCACCACCCCATCCCACCCGGGGGAAGCTCCACTGACATGGTTTACTCACAGCGTCTCGGACGGTCTGTGTATCTCACAAAACCTATTACCAGACCCCTGAGCCTCCCCAAGGCTTCTCCATTGTGTCCTTGTCTTGCATGCAGAAGATCCCAGGGGAAGTGTTTTGTTGTGTTCGCTGTAAACCAGGAGGCTGATGAGAAGCTGCCACCCACGGAAACGGGGAGCGGTGGAAGTACGCCTTAATACCCTGGTAATCTGGTTAGTTTTGAAACCTAATCTGGTTAGCAGGCTCCAGGAGGAAGATTACATCCACAAAGCTAAACGAGGCCAGGCTTTAGCCAGGCAGATGTGGGGCTCTTGCTCAGAAGTACTCGGGGCATCAGGAGTACCTGATGGGATGAAACCACGGGTCACCCACTCCAGCCGCATCTCAAGGCTCAGCAGCACACATGTGGGGAGCACGCATCAGAGGAGAAAGGGGGGGATCAGAGGCAGATGGGGGATCCCCAGCTCTGGAGGGCTCCATCCACCTGATTTTAGATGCCTGATGTGCATCTGAGCACATCTGGCGAGCACCAGACCTCTCCAACCAGTGGGACCAGGTACTCCTGCGGCTCTGCAGGGACCCCCTAGCCTGGGGGGTGAGTGTTGGAGGCATTTGGTGCCCACTCCAACCAGCCCACCCCAAACGCACGGGGGCTTTTCTGAACCTTTTTGGGAGCTCCGATGTGGGTCTGCAAAGTGGCTGGGATGGGCTGACCTCCCCAGGCTTGAGCTTTTGCTTCAGCTGGAAGCCAGGAAGGCAGAGGGGGAAGATGAAACAAATAAGTGGCAGTTAAAACAGGAGAAAACTCCTCTGACAGCCTGGGAAGGAAAGCTTTTGGATCCATTTTGAAGCTCAGGTGAAAGCTCTGTCTGGCTCTGGAGGACTTGTGACACCTCCCAATGCCCGGCTCCCCTCCAGCCAGCAAGGCTTGGCAAGAAGCAGCTCCTTGCGTTTACCAGCATTCCTCCAGCGATCTGCTCCCTGGGGAAATCTCTTCTTAGATCCACAGATTTCAATCGCACTGCATTTTAATTTAGCATGGGGTATATTCTACCACCTGAGAGCAAAGCACATTTAGTGAAGGATTTTGTGCTGATACCCAGGAAATGCCAGATGTTCCCACAGGGAGGGCGAAGCAAAACCCTCTTTGTGTTAAGAGTCCAGATAATCAGGATTTATTTCCTCCAACTCAACTCCCATGCCGAAGCACCCTTCCCAGCCAGGCTGTCAGCCAAGCCGCATGCTCACTTCCAAGCTCCCTAATTCCCATCTGCCCAATGAACTCCACTGGAGCATTGGCCTCAGCCTCTTGGCAACCCTCGGGAGATTTGAAGACCTCAGGGATGCACCTCTCCATGGCCAGCTTTTGTAGTTATATCATCTCTTTTTTTCCACATACAGTTCTGCACCCATGGAGGCTATTCACTGCAGTCCCTGTCCCTTCCCAATTTCACTGCGTTTCTCTTCATTTAAAGGCAAGCGGAACCAGCCAAGCGTCAATGCAACAAGGACAACAGGTGAAAACCTGTGCGGGTCTTCAGAAAAGGGCTCTGCTGGTCCCAGGGGAGCCGCCATGCCCATGCAGGGAGTCTCCATCCTGTGATACATGCATGGCAGGGCAGAGATAGACCTCCAGACAGGATGAGAAAGGTCTTCCTACAGAGTTATCTAAAATCTTGCAAGGAGCTGAAGAAGACACCAGCATCTACAGCACCATTCAGTTAGTTTATATGGAGAATTACCTGGCCAGGCAATACAAGCTCTAGGACTACATGGCCTCACTAGATACATCATCCTTCTGCTCTCCGAAGGAGGTCTTCACCCATATAAAGCAATGCCCCAGCCCTTTCCCAAAGCAGCACCTAAAAAAAGCGATCCATCCCCTGCACATGAGCTCATCCAACCCAGACCTCTGCACTGGGAGATGCCTGGGGGGCACCTGGACACACACACAGACACGTGCGAAGTCCCCCCAGCCACCCTTCACTGGCATGGAGCCAGAGGAGAGACCCTCACCCGTGTGATGTTTTGGACTCGGAAGAGACGGGACACGATGTCCTCATCCACCGCTCCGGAAACGTACTCCACCTCCATCGGGCCGTACTGCTGGAGCCCCGGCTCAGGCCAGTATTGCAAACAGGGCTGTGGAGAGAAGAGGCACAGCTCGCTGTGACCGGGGGACATGCACTGGGACACGGTGAAAGGGCATCATGCATCACAGACAACGTCGAGCGGAATGGAGTGGTTGGTGCTGGACACTGAGAGGGGCTGCTGGCACAGGGAGTGGCCCCAAGATGGGACGCTGGACCCACGATGCCGTTACTCATGCAGGACCCACGGCACATTGCTGGGTGGCCTCAGCTTGTTGAGGGATCAAAGCTGAAGGGTCAGGTCCACTCCCTTGGCACCCACGTAGCTCTCTCCCCACTGCACAAACGCAACAGCTGATGCTGCCGGCGATGCGCTTTGCCAGTCCAGAAGAAGGCAGGATGGTCCCTGCTTCAGCCCCAGCAAGCACAGGCCTGATCCTGCACCATGATGGAGCAGGGCTTGGCTGCTCCAAGTCTGCTTTCAATCCCCACCGGCTTCAGAAGCAGCTCTGCCATCAGTAGCAACAGCAACGTGGGATGACAGTCCCCTTCACCCCATGGCCAAGACATCCCTCCAAGTCAAAGCGATCCCAGCTTGCAGCTCAGGTAAGGGCTGGGGAGTGACTCCTGCTCCCCACCACGCGTCCAGCACGGCATTGATGGATGGCTCGGTCCAAGGGTCACGGATGTGAATGTTTTCACACTACAACAGCTGGGAAACCAGCATCGACACAAAATATATGATGTTTGTCACCGCACTTTAACAGGGCATTTAGCATTTCAGGCCATCTAACGACTTGGGCCTAACTGCATGGCAAATGTGTTTGAGAAATAATTGGTTATTAATAGGGGCTATAAATCTCCAAGATCTCTAAGCCTTCTAGACTCAGAGCTATAATTTAGATATTAAAACTTCCTTCGGCAAGACTTAGTTCAAGTGAGGGATATACCCTCTAAGTCACCTTTCAGAGCTGCCTGCTGTAAAGGTTGATTTATTACCTGTTGGTCCTAAACTGGTAAACATTTAAGATCCAGCTAAGTATTGTAACACAGACATCCCTGAAGAAGAGACGTCCAGAGAGAGAGGCAGGGCTGAATAATGAAGAAAAATGGCAGTCCCCGTTGGACGGTGCCAGGGGACAGCAGCCACTGCAGGGGACGGGGACCTGGGGGAGGATGGCACAGGAGCGGGCAGCTCCTGCGAGGCTGTAGGGCATTTCTGGACCATGGAATGAAAGAACAGGTTGAGAGCGAGCAATACAATCGGGTTTGCTGCCTCCTTCCCTGCCATGGGCCACTGCAGCTGGGTTCAGCCGACAGCTGATGTTTGTGCTGCTGACGGGAGGTGCTGGATGGTCACAGTGAAGGGACAGTAAGATGGTGGCACCGCTGCAGCGCCGGGTTCGAAGGGGCACTTGGTCCCCGGCAGGTATCTCAGCGCACGTGAGGGTAAATGCGACTCAAGGTGAAAAATGCACATGGGAGCATCAGTCGCCCTCGCCTAACTAGACCTGCCCGCTGCTCGGGCAACACAGCTGCTCTCCTCCGCAGCCACGGTTGCAGGCAAAGCCCTTACATCCTCCCAGCTTCAACACCTCCCTGCACACAGAGGGAAGCCAGGCAGGTCCGTCCCATCGGGAGCAAGGCCCGCAAGGCTCGGGGCAGCCACCGCTGCCAGCCAGGGCTCGATTCAGCAATGTGCCCGGCCCCGTCCTCGCGCCGGGACCGGAGAGCCTGCCCTGCCCAGGCAGAGCCACCCTTGGGTGCTGAGTCTGCACCAACACCTTCTGCTCTGGACTCGCAGAGGCGCAGAGGCAACAGCCACTATGAGAACTCGCTTCTCACATTTTCAGCTGAAAACACCCTTCATGGCCCTGCTCAGAACATCTCCTGAGCAGTCCACAAACAGCTGCTCACTGTCTCATGGGCCACAGAGAACAGCTAAAGCCTTTAGCCTCATTCCTGTTTTCGTATGGTCACGTTTGCATGATGGACTTCAGTAAAGCAAACACTCAGTACGTCACTTGTATGAGCTACCGGGAAGAAAAGTGCTGATTCCTACAGGAGCTACATCAAACCTTTCCTTTACTGAAAAAACCAAACAGTTCTGCGAGAGGGTGTAATTTAAAAGGCTGATAGAACATGACTGAGTTTCCTGGGTTTGGTTCTAAAGGTTCACTCTTAAAGAAAATTAAAGTGCTCTCCAGCCACTCCTCTCCCAGCCAATCTGTTAGATCCCTCTGCAAGGCCTCTCGGCCCTCAAGAGAGTCAATAGCACCTCCCAGTTGGTATCATCAGCAAAGTTGCTAATGGTGCATTACACTCCTGCATCCAAATCACCCATACAAACACTGAACAGAACCAGCCCTAGGACTGAGCCCTGAGGAACACCGCTGGTGACCGGTCCCCAGACAGGGGTTGCCCCATTCACCACAACCCTTGGAGCCCTGCCGCCAGCCAGTTCTTCACTCGCCGCACCCTGTACTTGCTCATCTCACAGCTGGACAACTTGTCCCGAAGGATGCTGGTGAGGGACAGCATCAAAAGCCTTATGAAAATCCAGAAAAACTACACCCACCGCCTCTCCTTCATCCGCGAGGCGGGTGACCTTATC